TGAAACAATCACTTCTATAAATTGTTTCGTTTATTTGATCTTCGCCTTTACCCTAAAGGGTTGGCGTTATTGTATTCGCTTATATTTTTTTAATATTGGCCAATACCTTTCATAAAATTTATAATTTTTGCGTTGTTGTTTTCGCTGACTTCTAAGAGCTCTTCCTGATAGCTCCATAGAGGTTCGTTTGATTTAATATTTAAGACAGTTTAATAGTAAGCGTTTCACTTTCATTATCACACTATCTGCAAATGGGTGGATCTGATCTTTGCATAAGATATTCGTGAGGTAATTTGCAGTGGCCTATGTGGATACGGTATAAAATAATTCTCTCGCTTATCTTCCATTTGCAAATTATTGGTTTGATTTCAGTTAATTTTACGCAATTTTTTCTCCTTTAATTTACACATTCTTTCAAAAACTGTGATATTTTTGGCCCATTCTTTTTTAATAACTAATTCGTTCTTATTGGATTCAGAATCAATGTTTTCTCTTGCCTTCAATTATTATGTAAGACATGACAGTTTGATCGTTTGACTTAGATTATTTTTACTATCTTCAATTAATGCTCTTTTTTCATTAGTGCTTCTTAAAGCCATCAGGAAGCTAATTGAATCCGTTACTATCGTCGATCTAGGTGTGTGAGTTTTTAGTAATGTTATTTGTGTTATAATAATTTTAGTTATTTCCCTTCTCATATAAAATTGTATGATTTGTAATTACTTCATTGTTACACCAGATAAGAGATCGTTAACTATTATTTCATCTATATATCTGAGTAAACTTAAATTTTTAAAAATTAAAAAAATAGAAAACAATTACCTATGTGTGATTTTTTTTTTGACATTTTAAACATGATAATGTTTTTATTCGTTGATATTTACAACTGTATTATAAAAAAAAAAAATACAACTGGTAAATGTGCACTCAGGAATATAACAACATGAAATCCCTTGTTGAAAAACTACCCACTGATAGCACTCAAATAATAAATTTACACAAGAAGATCACGAGGCCACCTTCTTTTCAGACGCCTTGGAGGGTTATCAGAGATCGAGGAGGAAGCAAGATTTGAAACGAGAGGGTTCGGATGGTTCTGCAGTTTGTTATGAAAGGTTAGGTATCTGCGGATTGTGCCAAATCGGAAACATATGGAACATTAAGGTCTTTATGGATGATTTTATTTGTGACAAAGTAAGGAGCGTTAAGAATTTTATGAAGGATTTTGGCTTGTAAGGATTGGATACGAGAGGAATTCGATGGTTTAGTGGAGCCCCAAAGCTCAATGCCGTAAGTCCAAATAGGTCTTATTATTGTTATATATATGAGTCGTTTGTAATTGATTGGAAGCTTAGGGCGTTTGTCTAGTAAGTGTTGTAGTAGTCAGAAACGTCGAACGTTTTCTTATCATTTCAGTCTTGTATGAGGATTCCATGTGAGTCGTTTGTGCATGTGGAGTCGTAGATAACGGATTTGTTCAACTGGAATAAGTGAGGATTGTTAAAGGATACTGTAGGACAAGAGGTTATAGGTTTGCGACGCAGAGTAAAGGTAATTTAATGGGATTTATTGTAATTTATTTTAATTCTCCAGTTTTCACACCATTCTTCAAGGTTATGATATGTGGTTGGAGAGTTTGGGATGCTGTTGATGGATCATTATTAAACATAATAATAAAAAAACATATAAAACACGAGCATACTTTCATACAATATTGCAGAATCTATTTACTCAGGAGAACTCCAAGTCAGTTCTTTCTCCCCACTCGTGGAAGGAAAGGCAGGACTCAAGAGATTGCAGCGCATCTTATTCAGTCGCATTTCTGGTATTAAGGACCAGTAGCTACTGAGCAGTGCTGAGCAGAGGCGCATTATGTGTGATTTATCATGAATTCAATATAAACTACTCCGATGATCTCTTGTTACTTTTCAGGAAATTAATATAGTAAAGTACCGTCTGAACTCTCAATTCGTAAAATGTATCCATAGCAAGAAGACGTTTCATGAAAGATTATAAGCTTTCACGTTACAACTACTATTTTATTTCAATTAATCAAAAAATGCGTTGTGACTGTACTTTTTCTTCACTATAAGTGTTGTGAATGCTGTGACAAAATGTTATAATACTTAACATACAATAAAAAATAGTATAAGTATATTATCAATCTTTAATAAAAAAATATTTTAATTACTAACTCAAATTTATGTTTACTAGTAGGAAATTGTAGTAATAATAAATGTTAATTACAGTTCGTTTGTCAGTATACCAAGTGGTCTTTTGGAGAGGACTGGTATATTTCTCGATGTTGCTGATGCGTTTGATAGAGTCTGGCATCAGACTTCTCTTTGGATTGAAAATGATATTGTCACCTATATGCTGTCTTATTGTTCAAACTTTTCTTGCTGTAAGTTGGATATACTAAAATATAAATTTCCTACCTGTAGATAATCTCAATACAAATCAAAAGAATATTCCACGCCACTGATAGTATCTTCATCATCCTCTACATTGCCAAATCAATCAAAACTGTACTATTTTATTCCTTTCTCTTATCTAAAAATGGTAAATAAATAACATTTTGTTCTAACGTATTAATTTTATGTCCTCTTAGAATTAAAGACGTTTCGATTTTCTCTGTTCTGTGCTTTCAAGAAGGGTCTGTTTTATATTGGGTAAATCTTCAGTTCCAGTGGGCAGTTGAAAATATCACGGAATTAAGTATTTTTCTCATTAAACTTCAATCCATGCTTTTTTTTTATAACCTAATAAAAATTATAGTTTCGTGAAAAAAAAAAAATGAGTAAGGGATTTTTAATTTATTTTATAATAGAATGTTATGATCTCTTTATGTTGTTACCAGTGGTATGCATATTATTTACAACCACAAACCATCTTTTATTATTTTAAATATTAATTAGTAGTAAACCAACGACTTCCTGTCCTACAGTTTCCTTTAACAATACTCCACTTATCCCTGTTAAGCAAATCCGATACCTAGGACTCCACCTGGACAAACGACTAACTTGGAATCCTCATACTAGACTGAAACGACAAGAAACCGCTCGACGTTTCCGATTACTTCAGCACTTACTAGACAAACGCTCTAAACTTCCCATTAATTACAAAAGACTCATATACTTGACTATAATAAGACTTATTTGGACTTACGGAGTTGAGCTATGGGGCTCCACTAAACCATCGAATTCCTCTCGCATCCAATCCTTACAATCCAAAATCCTTCGTAAAATCCTCAATGCTCCTTACTTTGTCACTAATAAAATTATCCATAAAGATCTTAATGTTCCTTATGTTTCAGATCTGGTCCAATCCAGATACCTATCCTTCCATAATAAACTTCAGAATCATCCCAACCCTCTCGTTTCTAACCTTGCTTCCTCTTCAATTCCTGATAACCCTCCAAGGCGTCTGAAAAGAAGACGGCCCCGTGATCTCCTAATGTAGTCATATCATTAGAGTGCTACCATTGGGTAGTTACTCAGCAAGTGTATTCATGTCATTATATCTATTATGTCCAAATTTACTTGATGTATTTATTTAATGCAGTTGTAAATGTCATTAAGAAATAAAAAAAATATATATATATTAATTCAGTTAAACTCTTCCTTAAGAGGGCTCCTGCGTGGAATTTAATTTGTGTCTTCTATGAAGAGACGTCTGTTATTGAGTAACTGAAAAAAGAGTTTGGAAAATACCGGATTAAAAGTTTCATAAATCATATCAATCCTTATAATTTATTAATTTAAATATTTTTTTTTATTTTGACTTAATAATTTAATCACATTTTTTATAAGAAATAATGCATTATCAGTGCACAAATAAGCAATGATGATATATAAACACACCTTAAACGTATAGATAAAACAAAATTATAAATTGAAGTTGTTTACAATACTTATCAGCAATATTTGTTACCTAGAGCTTTGGGAGGGAAGATCAGAGCTACTCTTATTTCGAAAGAATCTACGCAATTGGTTTATAGGAAATGTTATGACGTGTTTTAAATTTATCTAGATATCCACTTGATATTAATTTCATTTTAATTCGAATTCTGGTAGACTTCTAAAAGTATTTGATTTGATGAAAGGACCATCGAGAAAAGTTAGTTGATTTCTATAAGAAGGCCTGAGTCTTAGGACGTGCTGGTTCCGTAAGACATCTAACTATTGGATTAAAGCTATTATTTTTATTGGCAAACCGATTTCCAAGTTTATGCAGTCCGATTCAAGTTATTACAAATTGAATTAAGGTCCACAAACTATGATCCTCACAGGTTACCTGATGTTCGTTATGGAAGTAGTTTTCAATCAAAATACTTGGATCCTATATGTTCACGTCAGTTTTAGAAAACGCCATTAAATCAGTAAACTGTGAGAGATTTTAAGGTTTTTATATTGAGTGAAATGTGCTATAAATCATTTCTTCACTGAGTGAAATTTCTGTACTCAGTATGAGATAAATTGAAAATGTATTTCCTCACTGTTAGTTAATGTTAGTTTCAGTTAAAATTTAATTGATCAGATAGTATCCGCAGTCAGATTTAGGCTTAGGAGCTGATGAAAGGTGAGTAAAAGTTGTATTTTCTCATCAGAATATTAGACGAATTTCACTTTCATATTCGTCAAAAAGGCCTTAAAATTTGGCTGACCATTGAGTTTGTATGATGAGATATCTATCGTACTTCATACAGCGTTTCAAGTCTCATTATCGAAAGAAATCTCGAAGCAGGCTGCTTGTACCTCCATTATCAGGACACAAACAAGCGAAGCGAGGGCAGCATAAGGTTAGGGCAGACAATTACGAGGACATTGTGGACATTAATACGACCTGTTTACAAGCGGAGAGATGAAATGAAGACATAACCAAATGCTGGGGTTCATAAAGCGAAGAGTAGTTTGCGCGGGAGGCGGTAGATGGGGCTGCCGGCGCGGGCGCGGATTGGCCCTGCCCCCACCCCAGGGCTCTGGAGGGGCAGGATAAAGGAGTGATAGCAGCCCGGCTGATAGCCCCCTCAGTCCGCTCCAGTCCGCGAGTCTCTCCGCGTCGCTCTCTGTCGCTTAATAGCTCATCGTAAACACTAACGACACCAGTCCAATTCTCTTTTATGGCTCCTTCAGGGGTCTTTTATTGCTCCACCGCCGCACTCGAGTGACTTTATAGTTGTTTTTGTGTGGTCAGCCCCTTCAGCGAGGGGCAGTACGAGTACAGTTCGTAGTACAACTGGATCATCATTGGATTGCCGACAACAGTGATCTGTCAATTGACAAAATGAACTCTTATTTCGAACAGACGGGTTTCTACGGCCACCATCATCAGAGTGCCACAGCGGCACACCACGACCAGACCGCTGCCGCATACAGGTTCCCTCTAGGGATCGGCATGTCGCCTTACGCATCGACACAGCATCATCATCACCACTCTCTTCATCAGAGCAGGCCACCGCAGGATTCGCCATACGACGCCTCCGTGGCCGCTTGCAAACTGTACACTGCCAACGAAAACCAGACAAGTGTCAACTATTCCACGACGAAGCCTGACTGTTCCAAAACGGAATCCAACCATCAGAACGGATATGCGGCGGTGGTAGCAGCGGCCAAAGACGTTTGGCAGAGTGCCTCGTCGACACCGGGCGCGAATCCCCTGGTGAGGCCGGCCGCTTGCACCCCGGACACCCGCTACCCCGGCTTAGGAGACGCGTCCCCCGGAGCGACTTCCAGGACGTCAAGCGCTTCCCTTGCACCGACCTCTTGGAATCAGTGCAGCCTCAATACGGCTACCACTCAGCCGGCGGCACAGCTCCACCAGCAGCCGACCAACCACACCTTCTACCCATGGATGGCCATTGCAGGTACTCAAAAATATTAAATTCATAGCATGGCCCACAAATCGTATGCTTTTCAACGTTACAAAACCATCAAACACCAAACAAAAATAATAGAAAAAATTGTCAAAAACCCAAAATAATAGAAAAATATATTTCCCTCAACCATAAAAAGCATGTATCCGATTTTTCAAATTCCTCTGTTCGGTACTTAATTAATAAGTCTGAAGTTCCTAGTTCACCTGACGGCGAAAAGCCCACGTGGGCGCTATTCCACATGACCCCTCCACTGAATACGGTCAGCTTCATTCACTAAACCTCGCCTGATAAAACCCTCCTCACTATGTCATAAGCTGCTCAAGAGCTGAAAATCATTGGTGAAGCTGAATCAGAAAACTTTCAATTTATTTTTACCAAAAATAATACTAGAAAAAAAGAAAACTATTTTATTAATGTATTTTTCATAATTAATTTGAGTAGTAACTCATTTATGGATATCCATCCATTAATCACCTCCTCCCACAAAAAAAAAAAAAAAAATAATAATAAAAATCCTGCCGAAGCTTAATCAGACCTGACTAGAAAAGCAGAATATGACAATTAAATTCATACACAAAATATAATACAATTACGCAATTACATGTATTCCAAAAAAAAAAAAAAAAAATGAGTTTCGTAGAGATTTTAGCTGATAAAACTTCAGACTATATAAATAACAGCTTTAAATAATTATTATAATAATTTTCATAGCCAAGTTTACAAGAGCTGTATTTATGTAATTACCCAGGTAATAAAACGTATGATCCAGCCTTTTCCCCCATATTTTCAAGTATTCAATAATAAGAAAAATACGTTATCTGAATAATTATATTTTTTTATGCTTTGTAAATTCGTAATACAAAAATCTTATTTTCTAACAAATTTTCTCTACTTTCCCAACAAAAACAAAAAATAGATGAAGCTCACGAATGCATTAAAAATTGTAATTGACTATAATGAAACCCGACAAACCAGTCCCTGCATGGAATTAAATTAAACGTCCGAGAGATAAATCCTTGAGTTTGTACTCAGTTGAGTTATATTATTCACTTATTATTTATATGTGTTTCAGAAAACAATGTTACAATTGATTTATCTTGAATATTTAATTTTGACTCATCACTTGTATTTTTCTAATAAACTATATTTTTATAGTAGTATTATAAAAGCCGCTTTGAATCTTTGAAATCGGTTAAAGTTAGGAGCTTGAATTAGTTTGGATGTGTGAAAAAGACCCTAAGCTCCATTTTTTTAAATATACCGAATATTAACAAGTGTGTAACTATTCGTAAAAAAATTATACAATTTTTAGAATTTATTTTATATTTTTGCTTAGATGGACCTGAGGATGAGACCGGGACAAATATTTAACTCAAATAATTGCAAAAATTATTGTAATGATTTTTTTGATTCATCATTTTTTTATTATCCGAAATACTCTTTTTTTTATATTAATATAATATATTATTTTTAAAAATATAAAGTAATAATTAAATTTTGCTTTTAATTCTAAAAAAATTGTACGTAATTTACGAAAAAAAGTACTGATGAAGTTGCTGAATTTTATGAAGTAGCCAAATTATTTTTAGGAATTGTATGTACTTTTCATGTTAAAGAGTATTATATGTGGTAGCTTATTTATATATATATATATTTTAAATTGTTTTGTTTTTCAGATTATTATTGTAATACAATTAAAGATTTAACGTTGATATCGAATAATGTAATATTTTATTTTTATTATAAAATTGATTTTATGGTACTAAAAAATGTATTATTACTACTCCTGAATATTTGGATGAAATAAATATATTTTTTAAAAATTATAAAAGGTAAACAGGAGCTTAAAATGTTATAATTGGCACCCTCCAAGATTATTCGCAGTGGATAAAGATTGAGGATAATCAGATTTTGAATTATGGGCCATAAATCTGGAAATCGAATCAATAAACGGAACCCATTGATTTTCCAATTGTAGCCCATAATTACCGGCGCTGTGTAATTTTATTGAGCTTTTTTTTTTCTTTTTTTTTTTTTTTACTTCGATGCAGAAATACGAACTTAGGAAACGGCACGCTTTCCTAAGTCGGAACTTGACTCGGGTGTTTGGTGGGTTCGCTCCTATTTCACACTGTTGGGCTTCCTAATGGTTTCTACTTGGTACACTATATCATTTTGCCGGCTGTTTGAGCTTCTAGAGTCCTACAGGTATCCACGTTCCTTTTCCGTATTTACATAATTGCCATGAAGCGTAAAAGAAATTGAAAGGCAATAGCGAATTATATCCGAAGAAATAATTTTATATAAATTATCGGAATTAATTAAAGTTCCCTTAATGAATAAACGGAAATAGAGCGATTATCATATAACTAATCAAACATAATCTTAAAGAGAACGACTAAACTTAAATATTTTATAAAGTTGTTTTATTAATTAATTTTTTCATTATTAAAATGATTAATTAAGTTAGTGATTAATTGAAAATAAGGTGTGCTACAGCGCAAGTACAAATGGCATAAGATGTTATAAAAAAAAATATTATTTGATTTTTTTTCATTTACAGATTATCATGATGTAATTACTATTAAATAATAATTGTACATTTTACTAGAAGAATTATAAAATTTTATGATTATTTTTTTAACCAGTGTATTTTTAAATTAACAGTAATTAGATATAATGGACCAATGAGTTAACCTTTCCGGTATAATTATTTCAAATTAAACATCCAAGAACGATTGAAATAGAAAAAAAATACAGAATTCTCTCCCTTACATGTATAGAGTTAGTAAAATAGTTAATTCATATGTAAAACGAAAAAAAAAAAGTCAAGTGTCCCGTAATTCTTTGATTTTTATAAATAAAAGTATGAAAAATAATTTATAATTAATTCGTGAACAGTAATTAAAATAAACAAAAAATTCAAAAAAAGATGTAAATATAAAATATCCTTATTTATCCAAAATATTAAAAATTATATCTTTTAATAAATAATATATTAAAGTAATAAAGTATCATCTATAAAAAAAAAAATCGATACAGTGAGTAAAAAAAATATATTCACATAATAAATATAGAGATATGTTTTATTATTATTTAATTATATATATAAAAAAAGAGAGATACAAGATTATTTTATTTATTCCTTCTTTATTTTTTTAATATTTCTAAATATGTAATGAATAGAAAATTAGTAAATTAGTTGTGATTAAGGATTGTTTTCAATTATGAGCATCGAAATCGGTTTTAAAATTTTTTCATTTGATTATATAGTCCTTTTCAATTTTTATTGATTAAATTTACCATTGTAAAAAGATAATATAATATTTATGAATTTTAATTTTGTCAGAAGGGAAGGCAATCCTCATTTAAGATTTAATCTGATGAAGATATTTTTTTTTATAATCTCGGTTATATTTAAAAATATATAACCGATCTGATTTGCTGAAAGAAACGAAGAAATAAAGATAACTGTCCATATTCCTGTTAAAGAAATAAGCAAAAAATGTATGATCAAATAAAAATAATTCATCAGAAAGAAACCAATTATCTTTATACAATATATTAACTGCTGTTAAATAAAACATGTAACCTGCTATTTCTTGCTTGTGAGTTATTTTTTAAATTAGTTTTATATGGTTACTGCTGTGAATATGATTTTGTTACATTTTAACCTAATACTTTTAATTATTTCTGTTTTAATTTTGAATATATGTATATATATATATATATATATATATATATATATATATATATATTTATTTATTTATTTATTTATTTATATTCTTGAAATACGCCTAACTGCAGCAAAACATTGACAAGTTTCCTTTAGTAATAACGTACATCAAGATCTAATTATTTTACTTAATGGGTTATCGTGTATTATCTGAAACTATCCATTGCCAGTCACCTCTGTGTGATATAAATTCCATATAAATCAATTAACAACGACCTCTTTGTCAATATGTCAAGTTATAGCTACGTAAATGTCAATCATCACTCAGCGCTTGTTATGAAACTATCATAAAAAATTATATTTCTTTCTTTAGAAAAAAAAAATGATAAAAATACGAAAAAATATATATGATTAACTAAAATTGAATTAACTTGAATATTGAGACGTCAATGTGCTGATTTTAAAATAGAATAGAATTGGAATATTTCAGTTATGGAAAAATTTACCTAATCACAAAGCAACTAATTTTAAATTTATTTTTTTAAATATTGTTTTCCGATCTCCAGTGCTTTTTTCTTTAACTTCACTGCTATCTAAAATCGGAAGAATTTTTTAAAATATTCACAATTCCTTTAGAATCGATATCGTCGTCTTATACGAATTATTTTAATGTAATAACGATGAACCATTCTCTGTTAAGAATCCAGTCTGTAGTTATAAAATATCTAATTATTTTTATTACTCAATTTTATGATTAATCAACACTTCAGTTACCTAATTTTATAATAAATATCTTATGAAAATAAAAATATGATGAGGATAAAATCTTAATATTTTAAAATTTCATAGCCTTAAAAGACCTTATTATAATGTTAATTATTTAATGGCGTTTTAAATTAATTTTATAGTTCATTGGAAAAGGTAGGATAAAAAAATTATCAGTGACGATTTGCAAGATATTGGAAAAATGTGAATTGCCAGAAGGACTGATTTAAACTAAAAATGAACATTTTTTTATCATAAAAAATATATCAACTTATTTTTTTTATTTACTTGAGTGCATTTTTAAGATTTAAACTATTGTATTGGAAAATATTAATTCTAAATTATCGTTTTAAATTATGTATTTGGATTTATTTAATCCAACAAATTATTTTTGTCTGATTACTATCTCACTTACATGACCACAACCGACTTATACAATTTATTTTTTGACAAAGAATTTTCAACCATAGAACAAATATATTCGTATTTTATTACAACCTATAAGCTGATTTTACTAAATAATTGGTGAAATTCTACATTTTTTTTTTATCTAATGTTTATCTATTTCATTTTATTTATTTTTTATTAAAAAATAAAATATTCATACAGGTATTAATCCTGAAATTAAAAACAAAAAAAGATTGTATGCATTTAAAACAGAACGATCGATCGTTAAATAAAAATATGTATCATGAGGGCTTATGGACGATAGTTCCTGAGATTGCCTCTAGAGCGCACTAAGATCAGATTGGTAACACTGAGAAAAAGCATCGATTTTTCACCCATCCTATATCTATATTAATTTATTTAATTGTATAAAACCTGAACATATTAAAGATATTTTCTTCTTTTTATCTAATAATTTTTTTAAATAAAAAAAAATATCGGAAAATATACGAATTGGTTATTTTAGTTTATTTATATAAATAATTAAAACTATCCACGTTAAGGATAACTGTTTAGTGATTTTCTTTATTCATGAGCATTTGTCCTTTAGATTATTTAATCTTTATCAAAAATTAGTTTCTGTAACTGAAAATTGGAATTGTGAAGCTGTATAAAAAATTACATTAACATTAGTAAACCTCTTATTGAAACAAAAAACAAGATACCGTTTGGTGAAACAGTTCAGATAATGAGAACTGTTGAGATATGTGTCCAGTAATTCATTACGGGAGATATCATCGTGGGGGAGTCTGTGCTGGACTGCGTGAATGGAACAGCTGATCTCTGACCCACTTTTGAAAATGGAGGACCCCAATTTAGGGGGTATCTTATACGCTTTTGTATGACAGGAGCAGATATAATTGTGAGATAAATATAAAAAAAAAATTACATATATTTTTTTCTTAATTTTTCACAATATATATAAAAAAAGGCTTCGAAAATATGTCATATATTTTTAGATAAATTTTATTGCCAGATAATAATATCCCGAAAATTTAATATTTTTATTACGTTCAAACGTACGAAAACACAAATATACATATATCAGTATATCTCATCATATCACATACATTTTTATGAGGAATCCATTAAAATTACTATCTCTTTATCTTAATTTCTTTGGTATTTTAATTATTAGTTAATTTTGTTCTTAAAAACTAATCAAATATATATTTCTTTATATTTAATTATATGTCGAATATATATTTTGCATAATGGATATAACAATATTGCATAATGAAACAAGTCCGAAAATCCTACCATAAAAATTGCTTTAAGACGGGAAAAAAATAATATTTTTTTACTAATATGATAGTACTAAAAGTTGAAATAGGTTCTACCTACAACACTATTCTATTTTATATATATATATATATATATATATATATATATTTTACTCAGTTAAAAAGCATTTTTATTCAACCATTCTTTTATTCTAAAAATAATATTTTCTTTAGATTGAATTAATTAACATTTGACTAAAATGCAGATTGAAACTATTAAAAGCTCTTGATAACTAAAATAAAATTAAAATTAAATCCTAAATGAGGAATACTATTAGTCTGTGGGCCAGACCCCCTTACCGTGCACCCCCCCCACATCCCTATAAATTGCATATCGTTGTGTTCCTTGTAACAATTTATTAAAAAAAAGCCAATGTTCCCACAAAAGAAAGTGAACGCACTGCCCCAAAATGGCGTCCAAAGATGGCGGATTGACGACTTTGACTTTAGTTAGTTTTTTGGTCACTGAGAATCAGCATTAAGCTTAATTTCCTCATAGTTGGTCTTTTATTAAAGCTGAATAGTTATAGAATAATAAAACATGAAGAAATATTAAAAAATAATTGTCTAAGGCTATGAAAAACACCAGTAAACTCAATTTTTTTAACAAAAAAATTTTCAAGTTACAAATCAAGCGTCGTTTGTAATTAAACGGCCTACAATAACGCAAAACGTGCTGAAATAAACCATCTGGAGAATATATTTCTCTTTCTGAAACGCTGATTATTTTTTACAAATGTTTAAGTAGTTCCGTAAAAAATGCACTTATGCGGCAGAAAAGCGGTACTGGCGTGGGTGCCTACAGGCCTCTACCACACCATTCAGTG